CTTCAAGCCCAAACTTTCACTTAGGCTGTCTTAAAGGACTCAAACCTTCAAGTTAGATCGGCTAAAAAGGACTAATCCGTTCGCTACAAAAGCAGGTTTTTTCTGAAACTACTGATAAAATGTCGCAAAACTTCAAAACTTTATTATACCTGTTGAGTAAATTCCTCCAAGTAGGGTACAGATCTACTGCATCATTGGCGTAGAAAGTTTTTCCAAACAAAGTTCGTGCTCGGAAGAAAAAATAAGTTTCTGTAGTGTGAAACTTTCCACGATTGCACAAATCACTTTGGACACTGTGGAAAATAGCATAGTTTCTAGGTAAACGGCCATTTTTTCACTGCCCTAAATTCAATTTGCACTTTGTAAGAGCATGATAATTATTAAGGCAATTAGGTATCAAACCTCTCCTTTAGCAAATCAAAGGCGTATAAAAAAACTAAACTTGAAAAATGTGACATATTATGATTCAACATGAACTTAACAACATTGAAATCTTTTGAATCCATATCTGAGATGTATCAAAAAAAACTTTCACCTTTGAAACGATGTCTAATTGTTGATATTCAATATTTCACAAAAAACAGTTCAGCTTAAATTGATTCTTGTTATGACTATTAACATTTTGAAGAAAAGGAGGAAATAACCCTATTTCTATGATACAATTTCATTTCTAACCGTGATCATACACTTTCTCATCCTTCCACATTGTCTTAGCACCGAGAATCCTACTGCTTTATAGTTTTGAACCCAGTTCACAATTTAAATGAAGAAAGTACTTGATTATGGAAGGCACGTAAATGCAATTTTTCAGAATTTGCTAAAATAACGAAATTTATATCATGGCAGAATGAGGAGATTATCTCGATTTTCTTGCTTTGTTTCTTATGTTTAAACTCCAATCCTTTAAATTTGTCTATTGTCGACTTCTCATTATCGATACAGACGATTTCGATCTTGTGCCTACAAGTCCTCTCTGTAGTCTTTATTCAATCATTTTTTCTTGCAGATGGATGTCTACTAGCATGTCAGCAAACACTGCTTTTCTTTCCATAGTTCTCTTCAGTTGTTTTCGCCTAGCATTCACGGAGGATGTCGTACGATGTGGTGTGCAGGACGAGAGGAAAGTGAACGAGTGCCTCCAGGTTGGATTTCTTTGAACGTATGAAAATTGCTGAAAGTAACTTCATTTGACAACTTACAATTCAATGTCCTGTTGGACGCTTTCGCGACATTTCGTTATGCACATGCTGCAGGCGTTTTCTTCCATTGTTCTTCGAAATCTCTATGTAGGAATTGTGGAGTAAGATGACCACTAAAGTAATATGCGCACAAGTTACTTTTTTCGATAAAATAACCTACATAGCTTTTGAAAGATGAAAGAAATGTTGGAATGGTTCTAAAAGCATTATGGTTAATATAGTTCTCAGGAAGTTCGACTAGCTTCCGTTGCGAGTTACCCTTATTTTGATACCGAAGGAATTGATGTACGACGGTACCACTGTCACTTTCTTGTAAATCCTCCTAAATTATTTCCCCTTAGCACTTTTGAGCAAAAAAAATTGTGAGGTTTACTTATTGCTTGAAGAGTTTGCGGGAATTTCATTGACGAGTTACAGAAATGCTCGTTAGCGTCGAGAACTCTACTTGAGGATTTTTTGAGTTACTGGAAAACCCTTAATTTGTGCAAAATTTTTTGGATACTAGATTAACAGTGAGAATAGTTTAAAGGATGCTTGAAGTACTCCGCTAACAAATACCACAAACTCGGGCCAGCAGTGCAAACATCGTTACTAACATTAACTCACCCTATGAGAATAAAAATATGGTGAAAATGTCCGTATGGGTGTTTCTGAGCAATGAAACAGGCGCTAAATACATTAGGCTATAATGAATTGGTTTGTGCATATATAGGCTTCACACAAATATTCCTACAAGTGAGAGTTAAGGGTTTGTCAAAAGTAATAAACGTTGTCAATATTCAAATGTAAAACTCAGATCTCATGGATTTTAGCCAATGTTGGACTATGCCGCTAAGCTTCAAGCAGATACTGGAGCAATGCAATTTCCATTGCAAGGAGGAGAGGTGTTCAAAAAGTTGTGCTCTATTTTTGCAGACTTTAAGGTAAGTTCGTGTATCTAAAGTTTTGTAATTGAGCGAAAATCGAGGAATGAAGGATTGATATAAGGGACAAAAGTTCCAATCGGTGAAAGTTAAGATAAATTGCTACATCAACTTTTACGCTGCATCGACTTTCTAAAACTGTGTAAAGACCCTCTAGTTTTCGTATAAAAAAGGCAACAAAATAGTGATTGCGCTCTCCTCTACCCATTTTACTTCTGTTCCCCTAACGTTAGAGATTTAGACCTGTGTTTCGCACATCACCTGCGACTCACTTTCGGTAGATGCCGTCGATGCCAGTTATGGTTATATGTGTGGAGCTGGGCAGCCGCTATTTGAACAACATGCTGCTTGTTTTGCCAGGGTATGTAAAACCAATCGTAAAACTTGATGATCAATTCTTACCGCCTATGATATAGGTCGAAGTTGAAAAGTCCTACATCAGCTGTAAATCTGCGGCAACACAGGCAATAACCGAAGCGCAGGAGACAAAGGTGAGCAGTTGGAGAGTAATTTTTTAAACAATAAGCTGTGAATCGAAATCCTATCCTTTGATTTCTTTGAGTTTAAACGAATGCAATAGTGTTCGCTATCAGTTCAAAGCTTACAACTTAACCATCTGACAAAATGTCTTTCGGCTCAGATATTCACTTTATTTCTAAATAGTTGCAATCCGGTTCAACGGAAGCATACTTGGCGGAGATGTGTCGAGCAATGGACGGGTATCTTCGAT